TTGCCATTTCAGCGAATTCTGACGTTTTCACAATCCATTCCTCCACTGTGGGAATTTCATTATTCTTCCATCGTTGAGCATACGATAATCTTGCTGCAGTTCCCTTGTACAAAATCAATCTGCCTTGAGTCTCTTCTACTTCATCCAGTCTTGTACATTAAAGAGAAGTAGTGAATATATAAGAATCCTGCTGAATCAGGTCAAGCTTCCACGTAGGCCAAAATCCTGTTCCTAACAGTGGACAGCCACAAAGTTAGGGAGAAGTAAGAAGGAGCACATCAAGGCAGCAGCTTCCATACCAAATTGTCCTTCTACCAACAGCTGCCTTCCAGAAATCTGCTATCTCCAGACAAAAAGGTCCTATTTCACATTCGGGGTTAGGGTGGGCAGGCTCTGGGTTCCCTCCAATTAAACAATGCTACCTAAGGGACCCAGGAGGTGTGTCTACTCTGTTGCGGCACCTACCTAAGGAATATCGTACCCTCTGAGCTTCGGATGGCCCCAACTTTGGCGGCCTTTCACAAGGTATTAAAAACCTGGCTCTTCTCCCGAGCATCGGGCCTGTGTCCTGGATAAGCCTCTTTTGTTGGGGCAACTATTGCCTGTTGAGCTTTGGTCTCTGGGTGTTTTAAAGAGTTTTGAATCATCATGATGTTTGTATTGATAGTTGCATGTTGATTAGTAGCCACATAAATCTTTCCTTTCCTTCCTTCCTCCCTCTTTGCCTTGTCTTTTACAGCCATCCCACTCCATGGCTGTAGGTATGTTTTATAACATGCTATGTTTGACTGATCTAGGCGCATATTTTTTGTCTGTCATGGACCTCCTGAAGATTCCCAGAAGCAGATAGCTCCTCCCTTTTTCATCAGCATTCTCGCTGCCCTGAGTTCTCTGGAACCGGGGCCTTTGCACGTACCTTGTGGCACAGCCTCTGCTTTCTGCTTTTGCTACCTAGTGGGCTGTGCTCCACAGCTGCTATGTGGGAGGTCCTGCCTTGCAATGCAGGTACAATTTGCTGGCTCTAGATCCCTTCTCATTTTCACATATGCAATAAATAATGCTAGCAATTGAGTTTTGGGTCATTTGTAGCGTCTTGAACATAATCCCACTGAATTCACTGGGACATGCTTTTGAGTGGTCACAATGACTGCAGTGTTAAGTTTGTTTTTTCTCTTTCTTCCCCGCCTCAGGAAAGGCTGAAATGGTATTCCATGTTGATGAGAAAAAGGTACTTGGGCAATTTGGGAACAACAACAAGATATAACAAGTACCAAATTACTTCTGTTACTTTGAAATAGAAAGCTAAATGCAGGTGACAAAAAGCTATTGATTTTTAAAAACAGCTTGAAATAAAAGGTCTTGAATGGCTCCATTCTGAAATCAAATGTTTTTAAAGCAGCCATTTGTAATCACCAGCTCCTTTAGTGTCCGTTCTCCATAATGGACAGAGAATATCAATCCTGCCCTCCCAATATTGTTCTGAAGTGACACCCAGTTGTGCTAAGTTTAAACGGTTCGCTCTTAGAAGAGTAATCAGTAAAAAGCATTAGATTTGCTTTTCGTTTCTTCACATTGGACATGTAAATTCAATCTAATGACTCCCTCCCCCTTTTTTTAATTCTTTCAACTGCAAGCATCATCTAAGGATGAAAGTGATGTCTTTGCAGGCAGCTTAATTGGCATCAGTGCATACAAATTAGCTGGTGTTCATGGCCCCTCTCTGAATAAATCACTTTCGTTCCTGGAAAGGATCCTGTTCTAATATGGAACTTCTGGAGGTGATTGGTGAGAAGGAAGCCGAAGGAAGGAGGAAGGGTGCCTCACATAGCTTTTGATTTCTTGATGTGAGCCATTCTTTTCCCTATCCAATTTTTTCTTTAATTTTAAGGAAAATATCCTTAATGATTATATTCATATTTATTCATTTGTCTGTTTAAAGTGTTTCCTTTCTAAAAGGGTAGTTTATGTTACAAGCATACCTGACACAGGAAATATCTAACGCTGATCACACAGCCACGTTCAATTTCTACTTTCTGAGGGCCACTCTGTTCTCCAGGAAGCTCCTTCTGACTCCCTGGAAGAGGGCAACTGAGCACCACCTACAGTTAAGGACTTCCCATCTAGGAGTTTATTGACTGGGGGGAGAGGGAGCCAACAATCATCCAGAGAGGAACAAACTGGAATTGGATCCTGCATATTCTGAATCTCCCTGCCTTTGCCTGTTTTACTGCTTGCTTTAACAGAATTAAGAGAGAAATCCATCCCTCCTAATTATACTACCCTACTTTTCAGACATCTGGGGAAAAAAATCCTGTCTTCCTGAACAAAACACACACACACAATATATATATTACAGCATTGGTCTTTTATTCCATGTTTCTTGTCTCTGGATGTAAATCTTTATGCTTCTGTGTCCAGTTGAGAAAATAAAATACCCAATCATCTCATGAAGACCAACTACATATTCGTTGTTTTCATACAACTCACCAAGCCATCGTGAAGTTTGTTTTATCTTGGCTTAATGTATAAACCCAGTCATTTAGCTTGTTCTATAACACTTTGTTTTAAAACTATAGCTTATCAGAAGGTATAAACCAAGCTGTTACACCGAATATGATTAAACCTAATCTAGGTTCAGTTCTGACATCCACCCCCAAATCTCTCTCTCTCTCTCTCTCTCTCACACACACACACACACACATACACAAACTGAGAAAGAAAGAAACCCTCATCGGCATGAGCACAATACCATGAAAATACCCATACAAGTGAAGTCCACCCACGGTTCTTGTTAGAAATTAAAAGAAAGCAAAACTACTTTGAACCACTCCATGATTAAAATCCATTAAGGGCATCAGAGTTCAGAAATATTTGTTTCAGAAGCTGGATTCTACCACCTGCTTGTCAAAATTTTAACTTTGAAAATCTAAAAGAATTATAGACTCCAAGTTATCTTTATATAGCTTTTGTTATTGTTGCACTGCTTTCTTTTTTCTCGTTTCTCTTCTGTTTTTGTTACTTCTTTTTCTCTTTGTTTTGTTTTATTAAATAAATAAAGCAAAAAAAAAAAAACCTAATGAACTCCGAACTCCCCCCCCCAGTTTTTTTAAATGGTTTTAGCAGAGATCTGAAACCCCAGATCAAACCAGAAACCATTCCTGCATAAAGCCCATCCTCAGTGAATATTATTCTGGAGCCACAGGTTTAATTTATTGGAAGTCCCATCAGGAAATGGAAGTCTGGGCTGCGATTTCCAAATATTTTGCTAACCCCAAATCACTGAACCTTGTCAGTATAAAGCTGGGGGAAAGAGGATGCACTCAAATGTCATAACTGCAAATCCATCTTATTTCTTTAAAGAAAGAAAGAAAATATAAAATCCTGGCTTTGAGCCGCAGAACACAAGACTAGGCATGCAATATTTGTGACTGTACATATATGGTGCTTTGTGCATTAGTTTAGAGATGGATCAAATAAATGTAAGAATACATCCATAGTGAAAAAGGCTAAAAAACAAAAACAACAGATTCAGACATCATTTAACTGAAATTATGTGATTCATTTTTATGACTGGAGTAATTGTCTCCACAGTACTAGGCATACTGTTAAACATGGTTTCAGACCATGCTCCAAAGCCCAGGCCTGCTGACTGATTGATCACATTTCTTTTTCATCTCTCTTCTAAGGAATTCAAGACTGTGCGCATGAGGATTAGTCTTACTTCACTCTGCCACAACTCAGTGAAGTAGAGGCAGGTGAAATATTCTGATTTTTTCTCAGTTTTTGTGAAGAGGATTTAGATTCCAGGGTCTCATTAGGCATTGTAATATCTTCGTCTGCTCTGAGAACTCTCTCTTTGGTACTGGTCCCAAAATCATACCTCTGTTTCCTCTCCCTTTGGGAGTATATGTGACTGGCCAAAAATAAGAGGGAGGAATTAAAAGCCAGATCTCCCATGGAAATCCAACCTGTTGGAACAGAACAAGACACCTGTGCCCTCTAGACCAGTGCTTCTCAACCTTGGCAGCTTTCAGATGTGTGGACTTCAACTCCCCATGTTGCTGGGGAATCCTGGGAGTTGAAGTCCATACATCTTAACGTTCCCAAGGTTGAGAAACACTGGTCTAGACGTTTGCACAGCAAAGGACAGCTTGAATCCAGTTGAATGACTTCCTCTGCTTTTCTGCTACTATGTTTAAGTAGCCTAAGTAGCTAAAGTAAAGGTTCAACTCACCTAAGGGGACAAAGGGAGCCTCCTGGATTTTTCTAGAGCATTTAGATGTGTGACTGTCATCACTGGATGTCCAATCATCCAGTGATGCCTCATTAGAAGATAATGCTCATGTCTGAAGGTAAAAAAGAGAAGAACACTGGCTGCCTTGAAACATGGAATCATAGAGTAGGAAAGCTCCATCCGGGCTCCTGGGTCCATCCCTCTGCTCAGTGCAGGGATACCATGAAAATCAAGCTCAGGGAAGCAGAAAAAAATCTTAATAAAAGTGCAGATTCAGCATCTGGAGAAGAGACACATAGTCAAATATTCTGGAGTTCTTTTTTATTACATATATTTCCAGACATTTTACTTTTTTTTCCTTCTTCAGTTTTATGTCATATTTATGTGGTTAACTGAGATTGTGTAGCTAGTCAATATTTGTAATATTAAACAATTAATTTAACATGTATTTTGGATTGGTTGACTATTGTGTCATTATCAGTGTTATATACCTATTTAATGAAGTACAAACAATTAACATCATTTTTGCATTTATTACCTCAACAATCTTCTTAATTACTTCCTATATTCAAACTGGCTCTAAAATTTTTTGAACAAAAACTGGTTACCTGCAGCCATACATAGTAGGGTGATTTTTAAAACAAAAATGAAAAACAGATACAGGACTTCCTACCTCACTTTCCCCATCCTAAAAAAAGGAGTCACTCAAATCAGTCTTGAAAATATAATACTGTAACAAGTAAATGAAGCACATTTCTAATTAGCTAAAGTCAGAAGCAAAGATGAAATCCCCAAAGGTTAAAATCAATTAGTAATAAGGTAAATTTAGCAACAAGAGAATCCAAAGTTTGCTGGAAGAGAATCAGCTCAAACTACTGATTGTCAGGAAACTGGCAAACCATAAAATGGCTTAATCTCATGAGCAACAGTTTCACACCATCCCCAAGGAAGCTTTTCTTCCAAGAAGCTAATTGTGGCACCCTGGGCTCCCCATTTCCCCATGACAATGATCCTGAGAAGCTGAATTATAGTCCCCGGTTCATCATCCTGTGAGCTTCATCCCCTGGGATTTCTATCTAGCCTGCTTCATCCTTGGTGATTTTAATTATTGCATTACACAAACAAATGAGGCGCAATAACAATACTTCCCATCAATTTCACTGACACCTTGATGTTAAACCTGAGACATACAGCATTAATCTTGAGTCTGGTTCGAAACATTAATGTGTGAAAATAAAAACAGAACCTCCGCATTATTACCTCTGCTCAATCACTCGAGGTGAACTTGAATTACAGGCTGAGATGGCTGCCACAGACAAATATAATTACGCTTTGAAGACTACGGATGATTGAAAAAAGCATTCTGATACGTGGCTTCCCTCGGCTTTGGTGTGTTTTGTTAATTTCCCAATTGTTCTTGCAGGCAGACTGATTCTTGTTTAGGAAGTAGAGTATGCTTCATCGAGTCATTTCTGCCTGTATTATATAACTTGGGGAGCTATTAGTAGCTTTATGATTGAAAAGATATTGGGTCTAAAGGAGCTGCTTATAACTGAAGCCAAATACAGATTTTTAAAGTTATATTCTACCTTTTTCCCATTCTCCATATTAGCAAGTCTATCATTTACCATCAGGGGTTGATTAAACAGGAACTGGACTTTGAGTTGCCCTCTGTCTTCCTACAAAAGAAACCCCCAGAATTCCCCTCGCTGGCTGGGGAATTCTGGGAGTTGAAGTCCACACATCTGAAAGCTGCCAAGGTTGAGAAACACTGTTTTATAGCAATCTGACCAGCACTATCCTCCTTGACGAAACTACTACAGTAAAATAGCATCTTCTCACATCTCCTACAGATGCTAAGTTCTTATTCTTACAAACAAATTGATGAAGCTGATGTTTGGGCTTTTTTTCTACACACAGTTAGCAAGAAAGCATGTCCCTCACAACTTGCTTTTGAATTAAAAAAGAAAAGAAAAAAGGATGGATTCGGCCTGTCAGATGTAGAAATCAAGAACTGCGAGGACCAGATTGTATAAATAGATCCTTTTTCCCTGACCAGGCTTGGTCTGGGGAAACTATTTTCCTCTTAGTTTTTTCTATTCTGCAATGCTTCCACCAGTTTGCTGAGCACTGTTTTCTTATTTTCTTTTCTCAGAATTTCAAAATAGAAATTTCTGACTCCCTTGAAGCTGGATGAAATAGGGTGCTGGAAAAGCAACAGAGCTGTGTCTGTAGCCGAGATCATTTTGGCCTATCAGGTATTATAAATGAGAGAGACTTGCTGGTTACATGCAGCTAGTGGGAATTCAAATGTAATAAATGTTATTTTCTCTCCCTAGCTGGATTCAGAACATAATAAGCAAAAATATGAGTTGCTCTTTGTAGCTTAATATGTTACATGAAGCCAGACAGCATGGTTTATGAAGCACAGCTGGTTGCCTGAAACTAGCTAAGAGTGATTTTGTCAGTAAAATACAGTAAAGAAACCCTTTGCTTAAGAACAGAACAGAACAGGAATGTTGTCCCTACCTGAGGTACCACCTCTCCCCCACGATTTCAACCCATCCCACCCGATCTCACAGAGAGGGCACGCTCCGGACCCT